TACGTCCGGCGTCAGCAGCTGTGAGTCGGTGACGGGCCGAACGGCGGCCGCGGCCGCTGCTGCTGGTGTTATCAACGTGAGCGACTTTCAGCAGTTTCCGCTCAGTCCCATCCAGAGCATGTCCAATCTGCAGGAGATGCCGCCGCATCACGCCGCCAAGCTGCGGCGCCGCGTTTCCTTGCTGGGCACCACATTTCTGCAGCCAGCGCTCAGTCCGCTGGCAATGGAGGGCTATGCGAAGCTGCGCTCGCTGCGCGCCCGCAGCCGTCCGGTGTTCTCAGAGTCGGCGGCGGAACTGTACGACTTCATCGACATTGTGGATAGGGGCGAGGTGCAGCCGCGCAAGTACTCCTGGGGCGAGTCCCATCGCCGGATGAAGGTGCGCAGCCTGGATCGACAGACGATGCTGAATGTATTCACGTAAGTAGTGTTGACAAGCTTATTATTCCATATATATTAAATATAAAAACAAAACAAAATATATATATATATATTTATATATATGAATGTATGTGAGGTCACAATGTATCTAGAGCAAACATTAGTTTGTTTATCTGTCTGCTGTCTTGACTCTTTCTCTCTCTCTCTCTCCCTCTCTATATTTGCGGACAACGCTTAAGAGAGAGAGAGAGAGAGAGAGAGAGAGAGAAGGCTATATGTTTGCTGCAACAGAGCGAGTTGGATAGATTCAGCCATTATAAAATTGGTTCGCTAGCATAGAAATTATGAATGTGGTAAATATAGAAACGTCTAACGTTCAGCTGCTCCAAGTTATAAATATTGCTGATCTATTAGACGTAGAATCACTCATAGATATAATTGGGGTCTATATGCTCGGATTGCTTTGATCTTTATTAAGACTTTTTATTATCGTTTTGCAGACGTCTCTCGTCGGAGGAACTGCAGGTGCCATTGCCCACGCTGAACACGCCCAAGTTTCTGCCGCAGAATGATCTACAAGGACCGTGCTACACGGGCATCTGTTTGCCGAAGAACGCGCTCGATTTGTTCCCGTCGCGCAATCTGAGCCGTACATATGTCTCATGTGATATCATTGACCAGGATCTGACGGGCGTGAATCTGTTGAGCGTGCGGCCGCAGTTTCTGACGTTCCTCAACGACTCCATCAACAATGAGGGCGGCGATGAATCCTCGGTCATATCCTCGCTCTCCGATGTCTCATCGTCGGCCAGTCGCCGGCCCTGCAAGTGGCAACAGGGCTCGAAGCATGCGCGCAGTCAGTGCCTCTACTGCACGCGCTCGCGTCGTCAACGCGTGCAGGCCCAGGTGCCGGCACAGGAGAGCAACAGCAACAGCAACAGCAACAGCAACAGCAACAGCAATAGTAATAGCAATAGCAATAGCACGGGCGGCGCAGTCGCTCCCTGCGAGCTGTACAGCAGCGCATCGGCAACGCTCGTCGCCGCCGGCATGCAGGCCGGCCCGGCGCTGGCCCGCAAAAGTACGGGAAAGTCGAGCGGCGCCGCGATACAGCTGGCGGACATGAGCTTTTACTCGCCCGAGAGCATACTGAGCGAAGAGGGTCTGCCGGGCAAAGTGACCGCTTCCATACTGTACAACGTGCAGCGCATGGCGAATCCGGTCAGCGCGAAGCAGTCGAAGATGTCGCTGCTCGAGCTGAAGCAGAAGCATCCGCATGCCTTTCAGGACATTTGCCTCTACTCGGAGTCCTGCAAGACGCTCGGCCGGAGCAGCTATCGCATGAGTGCGCGACGCTTCCTGCAGGAGCTCTTCCTGGACCTGAACTTTGATGCGTTCTACGTGGAGCCGCAGCTGATTATCAACGCTCGCCGGCAGCCAGCCGACGAGTCAGCTGGATCCCAAAGCTCTGCTGGGCCATCAACATCAGCGCATCCAACAGCGGCAGCGCCAGCGTCAGCATCAGCATCAGCGACCTCAACGGCCGCAGCAACAGCCACAACGCCAACATCAGCTGCAGCAGCAGCAGCGGCAGCGGCAGGAGCACAAGTGGCTGGCAGTCCTTCGAATCCAACACTATTAACTCATAAGGCACAGCTGAAGCCAAAGCAGACGGCGCAACTGGCGAGCGTGTACGAGACCAGCTGGGAGAACCTGCTCATGGATCAGTCGCCGCGCGTCGGCGAGCACATCGGCGCCAACGAGACTCCGGGGCAGACATACTCTGGACTGCCGCGCCGGAGGACTGCGGCGGACACTCGCAATGAGCTGCACATTGACGATGCGACCGAGGATGCAGTGAACAGCGACGAGGATGCTGGCGAGGATGTCTGCGATGGCAGCCTTGACGTGACACAGGCCAGCAGTGTGAGCGCTGCAAACCCCGCCCTCCCTGCCCTCCAGAGTAACAAGCGCTGCAGTGGCGGTGCGATTAGTCAAATGCAGGAATCACCACCGCCGACGCTGACACTGACGACGGCGACTGCGACTGCGACGGCGACGGCGACTGCGACGACGACTTTATCATCATCAGCTGCAACAACTCCAACAGAGAGCACGGCGTGTGGTAATCTACAGAACGAGAATCGTCAGTATACGCGCGGACGCTCCTGTACGCTGGAGCTGGATTTGAGCTGCACGAAGAATAAATTTCCGATCACGAATCGGAATCGAACGACGGCCACAAAGTCGGACCAGGGATCGATGCTGGGGTCAATGATTGCGCGACAAATTAGCCTGGATAAGCTCTACTACACCAGAATGACCAAGAGCCTGACTGCATCCGCAGCGAAGCCCGTGGGCAGTCTCTACTGCGAGAAGCGCCTGCAGAGCTCCAAGTCGGAGGCTCTGCTGGATAAGGGCGGTGGCAGTGGCGATGCCGGTGGTGGAGACAGAGACGGAGAGGGAGACGGTGACGGTGACGGTGGCGGTGTTGGGAACGTTTCCAATGATACTATTAATTGGACGCCACCCAAACGGAGTTAGAAGACCAACCGATCCCGATCCCGATCCATATCCAGATCAAGCATACAGCATCAATGCCCGCCCTGCAAGTAACTAGACTTTTCTCTAATGGATTAAGTTCTTTTAGCTTAACGCGATAAGTTGTCCATGGTTTATATTCGATTTTTTTTTATATTCGCTGAGCGATTTATGTAAGTTGTGCATATATAATATATACATATATATGTTACGATCACAAGGAGACGAGTAAGAGGAAGAGGAAGATGAAGAGAATACACACACATCTAAATATACATAAACCCATTATAATAATTAATTAATATTAATATTATATGAAAAATAACTATTTTCTGTAGATTTTACAATTACAATTAATATTATTGATAAATATTTTCTTTAAATAAAATTCATTACCGTTAAGTGACACAAATAATCCCAAAAACAAAAGAAAAAATCACACACATTATATATATACATTATATATATGTAATTTTTATTTGTAATTAATTAATTAAAAGAGAAAACACGAAACAAGTTCAACATTAAGTTTTCGGCTCGCCGAAGAGAAATATCCTTGCAGACAAAGAATATTTTATTGCTTCCTGTTTTATTTTAGAATAATTCATGTGTACTTTCCTGATCCGTTTCTGCATCAGATCCTGCCTGACTGAGAGACTTAATTTTAATAATAATATTAATAATTAATAAAAACAACAATAACAACAACTGACTGACTGATCGATGATTAAAATGGGTTCTTGGACTCGCCTACTTCTAGTGCGTTCTACATATAGAGATATATTTCGTAAGTGAGATTGTATCATCCTCTGCAAGGATATCGCAAAAGAAAGGTTACCCAAAAAAGAAACAGCAAAACCACCGCAATTTATTTATTCAATTGTACTTAAAAAATGAAAAGAAAAGAAAACAAATCATATAAATTAAAGGTTCACCAACAACTGCGTCTACTGCAAAACCATATGCAATGATTCTGAACTGTATTCACAGAAAAGCTCCTAAATCTAATAAATACATCCTCAATGAATTAAAATATTTTTAGACAATAATTAAAACTTAAACTCTGCTTTTATTAATCCACGATCATCACACACGAATTCCACGATGGAGAACTTTATGCTGTACTTGGAGTACGAATTATCCGGAAAAGATAGTCTTATCCAGCCAAACTGAAGCAAAATGAGCCTTTTAGACAAGGATGGGAATATTACAATGTCCAGATGAAAATTATATGATGCGATTTGGTGTGTTGAATTCTTCCTCTTGAGTTCTTTGCGCATCTTCTTGTAAGCTGGCAGCCTAAACTGAAACTTGGATAAAAACGGCCAGCTAAAATGAATAGAGACTACACACTTAGTAGAGAACATATTCCTCAAGAGTTCAAAATTAATTTGAGTATATTCGAATTTAAGTTTTGCGAGTTCATGTAACATTTCCCACATTGAACATCTGCCCATGCGAAATCCTCGCCCTAGTCTATAATTCATAGCTCGTGGTTCGCATTTCATATCCATTTTTGTTATCCAGCTCATATTAGCAAATTTTGAATGCCCATATTTGCGCTTTACTTTTATCTATTTAAAAAAATTTTTGATTTTCTCTCTCGGATAAAATCTCTATTAGAATTAATAATATTCTAGACAAATTTTTTGCATAGAAAGTTGCTGCCTGCGGGCAGAGGTATTTTTGCGTAGTTTTTGGTTCTGTGAATGATATTACATATAGGAAAGAGTTGTTCGTTGCTTATAGAACATGGATAAGGCTCATACAACATGGATAAGGCTCATACAACATGGATAAGGCTCATACAGACAATCATTCTATAAAATAGCTTTTGCGTCATCAGATTCTTGAGTCCAAGTCAGACTTCCTTTTATGAGACTTTTTAAAGAGAGAAGTATTGCAGCTTCTGTAATTGTTCGAGCATCCTTGCTCATAGACCGTATATTGCATTGGATTAGACCCAAAATGTACTTTATTATGTATGCATTCTAGATATTATAAGAAATTTCTAGTCTTATATGAAAACTTAAGTTCGAAACAAGTTCCTAAATTCATGCGGGGTCTTTCAGCTAATGTTAATGTTAATGTTAACTTTAATTGGATTTAGTGATAGTTACAATTAGACTTGTATTACAAATTAGTGCTATCCGTAGTAGGTACAAAGTTGCTTAGACGGAGATATTGAAATGTTTTCGGCTGCTATGGTAGCAGCAAATAAATATCGTAATGTATAAGAACGTGGCGAAGATGCCCAGGGCGTTGAGAGCCATCGAGAAGCCAAGAAAGTATTTCCACTTGCCACGAATGGTCTCGCAAGTCTCGCCAATGTCGCTGGAATGGGGTAAGCGGAAATGTTTAGTCCCAGAGGTTGGATCACGCTCACTCCGTATATACTCACATATCATCAGAGTCAGCGTCTGATAGTGCCGCAGTGGTCGTCGCTTGCTGCTCCTCCGTCAGGCAGGTGCAGTTGCTGTAGTTGAGCAGGGAGCTGGTCGCCGGGCCACAGTTGCCATCGGTCAGCGTGGACGTGGTCTGCAGCTCGGCGAACTCGATGGCTGCACAGACCAGCGCCAGGCAGCAGAAGATCAGGGCCAGGGCGGAAAACACGTAGGACTCCACCAGCAGCACTTTGTAGCAGCTGTTGTGCGACCTCTTGTAGTCGGACTCGCGATCCCTCCCGAGCAGTATTAGACCCGCAATACTGGCAAGTAAAAGCTAAAATAATGCTCCTTTACTACTGGATGAGTAACACTTGGGCACACCAATATGGTGGACACGGCGGCTAGTTGCTACTCACTGAAAGGCCACTTAGGTACGGATTTATCAATATGGACGCGCTCGGTGTCCAAACCAGTATCGAGATGGCCAGGCCCACGATCAGGAGGCCCACTGCCAGTTGCAGGATCAGCAGTTGGCGTGAGAAGTTCGAGTTGCGAATGTGTGAAGTATACGTCTCCTGGATGCCTGGGAAGAAGAAGACGCAAAATACGAGATGAGAAACAAAAGCTAGATAGAAGAGAAGAACAACGAAGAAAAGCATTGGTAAGGAAAGGTGAATGATTGATTGAATTGAAGAGAAGAGAGGACAGACGATGTAAAGCATTGATAAGGGAAGGATAAGAAAAGAGAAAATAAAAACAAGGGAAAAATGTACGAAAAGAAGGAAGAAAGGTAAAGTCAGCGAATGGAAGAAAGCGAGGAGAAGAATAGGGAAGAAACGAATGAAAAGGAAGTTCAAATATATATAAATTAAAATAATAAGGAAAAGAAGAAGAAGAAATAAGTGATAGATAAATATAAGAAGAAAAGGATGTACAAGTAAAGAGGGAAGATATAAGACGAGAGGCAGGAGCAGAAAATCGCAATAGATGGGATGATAAGGGATGAGGATAGAAAATATAGGAAAAGAACAAGAAAGGACGAAAGAGATGAGAAGAGAACAGATAAGATAAGAGAAGAGAGGAGATGCAAAAAGACGACGGGATGAGAGAAACGAGACAAGAGAAGGGATCACAAGTAAAGAAGAAATGAAATGAGAAATAGAGCCCAGAATGAGAGGAGCAAAGGGTACTCGCGCCAGTTATGGATCTACCCAGTTTCAGCTTTGAGCACTTACTGTCGTGGTTCTTGTTGACCACAATCATCCGACTGTGCCTGAGACTGTTCCGCGTCGGGGTGTGTCGTCCGGCGATCTTCATGCCCTTCATGTTCTGGGGTACCGTGGTGCTCATGTAGACGGCCTGTGCGACATATACATAAATGGGAATGGGAATGGGCAGAGTTAGCAACTGATCTATGCAGAGACTATCAGGCGGATCGGCTGGTACGCACCTGCGTTGGCTGCAGCGCATCCAGATCGCTCAGCGGAATTTGCTCGTATGTGGCACCGAAGCGCTGCGAGACGACCGTGGGCGAGCTGCTGGCTTCCGGCTGAGCGGGAATTCGCGTGGGCTGTGGCACATTTTGGTATTTGGGCTCCGGCTTGATAACCACCGACGGCATCGCTGCGGCTGCTGAGTCACGCGCACCGGCTGGCGACACTGGCGCAGTCGCTGCCGCGTCACAGCTGTGGATGCCAAAGAACTTGGACTTGGCGTCGCTCAAAGCGGCTTTGACTGCGGCTATGCTGTGGCTGGTCTCATTCAGCTCTGAGGCCTGCTCCTGGCCATTGGCCGGCCATGCCTTCCTGTTGCCGTTCACGGCAATGCTGGGGCTATCTTGCAACTGTGGATGCTGCGGCTGCTGCTGTTGTTGTTGTTGTTGTTTCATCTTCGGTTTGGCTGTGCTCGCTGTTGTCGTTGTCAGGTTGTCATAGGTGCTTATTGGACGTACGGCTTGTGATTGCATTGTTGTGCGCTTTCTTGAGCTGTGGGCGTTGTTTCAATAATGCTAGAGCCTCCAGACGCATAGCGTATCCTCAGCATGAATCGTTAGAGAAATATTGCTGAAATGTTGTTAAACATCTTTTAGGCCAATTGCGCTTTGATCGTTCTTGAGTCTTTAAGAAACATTTAAGAAGTTTCTTTGGGGAACTGTTTCGAAATTACAAGAAACATATTTGTGATTAAGTTTTTGAATGCTTTAATGTGGTATAAATTAAGTTATAGCTCAATTTCACAGAACATATATGTATATACGATAGTATTTGATGCCATATCTGAGGTATTCATGGTCTTTAAAAATCTAATAATGATTTAACTTTTGAATATTTCAAAGCTCGATTACATAGTATACATATGAATATATATTACTATAATTTATATATGTATACATTATATCTCAACTCATGGGTTGTTTTTTTTTTCAGGCTATTCACATGACTATACAACAGCCAGCACAACACAGTGTAATTGGTCTAGCTACATACACACATACATATGTATGTATGTGTCTCTATAATGAAGGAGGAAATGTTATGGACCGTTGGGTTTGCTCTTGTTAAATGTTTGCTCGATGTTATTTCGGTGTTGCATTCAGGCCAAAAAACAAACAAATCAATTGGAGTTTTCATTGATTACAAAACGTTTTGTGCGATCTATTTAAAGGTTTCTGCCGCATTACAAACAAATTAACATGTATACAGGTATATATAGATATCTGTGTCTTATAAACCGATTTAAGTAAATGACATGCAGAGTGAAAGAGATAGGGAGAGAGAAAGAGAAGCATGCATTCAGAAACTTTGCCAACTTTAAATTCATTTCAAGTCACAATAAACAAAATAGTAAAAAAAAAACTAAATTAAAAAATATGCATGCAAAATAAACGTAACGACAGTATATAAAAACACGTTATGTACTCTAGATATGTGTACAGGTGTGTGTGTGTATGTGTGTGAGTGTAGTTTCTACTGAGCCACACAACACAACAGTCAATATTAAAGAACAAAAAAAAAGACACACGCATACAAAAACAACAACAGAAACGGCAAAAAAAAAATAGCACAACAAAAATATATACATATATAATATATATAGAGACGCGAGTGGTGGTAAAGAAAGAAAGAGAGAGAGAGAGAGTCGCCTGCAACTGTACGCACCAAAAGGTGAAAACAAACTAAAAATAATTCTCTCGAGTTCACTGCGATCGAGCGCTTTAAACAAGCCAAATTTCCATTTGTGCGCTCGCCGCTTGGCCTAACCGAAACAAAAACAAAACCAAAAACAAAAAACAGTTGCGAGCGCAGCTAGCGCAACGGAATCCGCTCTCTTAGCGGCCAGCGTTGGCAGCAAGAGTACAGCTACAGCTACTCATGCGCTTTACGCTTTACGCTCTTCTCTCCCCCTCGCTTTCGTGTTCGCTTACATGCTCTTCGCCACGCTCGCCCTCTCTCGCTCTCGCTCGCTCTCTGCACAGCTTGAGCCGCGTTGAGGCCTGTTGCGCCAACTCTTGTTGCTGTTGTGTTGACGTGGCAAGGCTAAGCAGCATTTTCTATACTAACAACAAGTCAGAACCAGCAAGAGAGCACAATAACAGTTACAGAGCATGCCAGACCAGTTGGACACCGTGTATTTTGCACTACATATGAAATGACAACTGGCTTAAAGTTGTTTTAGAGTTCACTCTTCTTCTTCTACTACTTCTGGCCTGTGAATGCAGTTGATCGATTTCATAGCATTCACTAATGCCAAGCATACCCCAATTTTGGTTAATCATTTTATAGGGTATTAACGTAAAAGAGAGTGTGAGAGAGCCGCAGAGCAACGGCTAATGTCCAAGCCAACTTAGTCGATTTTCACTTTTTCTACCTTAACATTTTCTCACCAAATTCTTCTGACAATGAAAACCAACTCGGCCAAATCTTAATAGTAGATCTTCTACATCTATGTATATACATCTGTATATATGTATGTGTGTGTGTATGCATGTATATTTTGTTTGTAAGGAACGACTGATTGCTGATCAACACAGAGTTAAAAGCGCAAGAGCTGGGAAAATCTATGTAAATCTCAATTTCTACGACTGGAAAATGGTTGAGAAAATCACATGACATATTTACATAGACTCCACTATATACATACATAGATATAATCTGATACATTTCAAGCGGAAAGGCTTTATAGCTTTATCAGTTTTACAGCCAGGATAAAAACTTCATTTTCAGGATAAAAATGAATTGGGGCGTACGGAATACAGAAGAGGCATTCTAAAAACATGCACTCTATATATTATACATATGTATATATCACTATACTATAAAATGTTCTGTAAAGTCTGGGCAAATCTTAGGCTTTCAAGTTCGATATCAGCTCTAACAGCCTTATACTCCAGATACTTCCAGTATACATTCGTATATTATTTTTACTTTGAGTGGATAATCAATTATTTCGTCAACGAAGCATATGATATTACGAAGTTACAGACCATTGCGCTCTTCGCATGAGCTGGAAACGTTACAAAACTTTTTCTCTGTATGCACTTAGTGCGAGTTGTCAACATTACGAGCATATATTCAAGCATGAACATGAATTTACGACCATCTCGAACGTCCAAAACTATCGAGTATAGAGACATACGTATAGTAGCATATGCCAATAGAGATTTTAAGTTACTAAAGAAGCTTCTAGGGATCTATATAAATATATACGAATATGACTCTGTTCTCCCCTACAAGAGTATATCTAAATATCAAAAATTATGTGTAATAGATATATGAAATGAATGTTAAAGTTACCACCAATCCCAATGCATTAATGTGTATATGTAGGAACCTAAGAAAAACACTTGTGCCTTTTGCTCCATCATTTTGTACGATGTCGCAAATTCCATGCTCATGCGCAAGACATTTCCCAAGGGGCGAAAGCATTGATGCAAGAATATATTTTTGTCACCGAAAAAAAAAAATATATATACATATATATATATAAAAAGCCTCTATGGATTTAGAGCCGTCCACATATTTATGATAAAACAACTAAAGTAATTTTCTTAAATAAATCACTTTTAAAGCAAATTTTATAGTTTTCTTTATGTAAAGAATGCTTCATTCTATTCTATGAACTAAAAAACACTTGAATTATGATATTTATACTGGGGTTCGAATAGTAATTATTGAACTTACATATGTATATATTACATGACTCCCTTTAGTTGACAGAATACGGCTAGAATAATGGTCTTGGAATGTTCCTTTTAGTCTGCTCAACACTGGATTTATAGCATCAGAAGTAAGAGCTTGAATGTTGTTAGAATTATACCTATAATAGATTTGACTTCTAAGTGTGGATGTTCTTGGTCTTTGTTTGCAGAAATTAAGAACAGGGATGTTATATGAGGTACGGTATTCTTATAGACAGCCCATGTCTACTCCAAACCCAATGATCAAACTTAACAATCGACTCGAGTTAGCTGTAATTGTCTGTCCATGGCTCTGAATGCTTAAATTTGAAAACCTCATAGCCATATTAATCTCTATTAATTTCCCTAGTAAGTTCTAATATAGCAGATCGAAGTTTATCTGAATCATCCACCAACTTCTGTAATATATCTATATCATTGTTAAAGGAAAATCAGGGATTGATATCTTCGATAACCTCGAATTCCTAATTACCTCCAGAGACATCACAAATTTTGGGTATTCCAGAGGGCAGCGCAGAGTTGGGGAATCGCATGGGTTCGAAGAGCATAAAGTTTTAGATGGATGCCAACTTTCGTGAGGAATTATAATATAAGAGATAAGATCCATTGGACGGCAACGTGGGAATAGCTCGAACTACAAAATACAACCAGAGGCAATCGAAGCTTAGGTTATCGAATATCAATTAAAAGTTTCCTTCTAATCATCATATAATATTTAATAATCATCAAATCTGAGCTTGGCCCACAAATCAAACTTACTCATATGCATAATTATGTGTGTATGTATGTATATGGCTCTATATATATTTGTGTAGATATGTTGATGAAATCGGAAGTGGTCAAAAGAGAATGAAAGAATTTGCATAAAAGAAAAAGTAAAATTTGAATTAATGCGTGCCGTTAGCAATAAGCCAAACAAAGAACAAACGAAAAGTAAAAACAAACCTCGACCTGTCTTTCGCTTCAAATACCCTCGGCCCATTCCAACTGGCTAGGGTATATGAGCTGTGGGCAAATGTATGTAACAAGCAGATCAATTTTATCTAACGAGACTCTAGCATAAAAGTTAAAAACATTTTTATTGAAGAAGAGCGAGAAGAAGAAGCTTAAGTAGAAAAATATGTAGGTCAGTATATTTTTAGTATATTTATACTGAAACAGAAGCGCAAGCTAGAATTTGGGCAAGAGCGCCACAGTTGAGATTTGAAGTGGAAAGTCGCGTGGGAGTCTATAAGAATTCTTCAGTCACCAACTCGATCTTTTGGTGTATTACATATATATTGCATGATATTGAATATCTATTACATACGGACATATATACTAAGCACTATTCAAATATATCCAATTCGAAAATTTGACATAATTAGATATTGTAATAATCACTGTAATGATAAGCTAAAATAAATGATATAATATAAGTACTCTTAACTAATATTATATAATTTATTTTAGCTTATCATTACAGTAATTATTATAATATCTAATGAATATTTATCATAACATAATAATCATTAACATCAGCTTATTGCTGGTATATGTTTCGCTAATACCCATTTATCCTACAAATGGGTCGTAATTAAACAATGATAATTACCTGAAGAGAGAAGTTTTTTAAGTTCAAGAAATATATTGTAATATCCTGCTCTTAGTGGATTCAATTTTGTTTGATTAGTTTTACTATCCTTAGCTCACCTTTTATGAAAGATATATTCTTTCTCTTTTGGTAAAATTCAGATAATGATTATCTGGCAATCATCAACAAGCCAATGAGAATTGTTAATGAAGCTATAAATAATGATACTAATATGAAATAATATTGGTATTGACAATTATAAAAGGATAATGATAATCATGCACTACAAATTAATAACGATAAACAGTTAAGATCGTGATAGTTATGAATCATAATAATGCTAATGTGCAGCTGTCAAAGAATAATAATAGTTACCAAATTGAAATAATAAATAATATTTACACTTGGCAAGGGTTAATTGATATTATAAGCTGTTGATGCCGTTTTTTGTATCGAGCCATAATAATAATGATGTTCAGTAAGTTAGTTACTTATAGATGTGGTAATACCCAAAATGAACACGCGAAATATCTTCTTTTTCTTGAGCTGCTTGCCATCTTGGAATCGCATTAACCTTCGAGGTGTAGCGCCTCTATGGGTCTTAGCAACGGCGCACTGTCCACAGTTTTTCCGTTTTCCCTTCAGCTTCCCCTTGTTTTCGCCACAAATCCCCAAGCATCTTTATCTTTTGCACTGTTGCTCTATTATTGCCTCCACTTTGACGTCAGGCAGAGCTTCAACCAGGTCGGTCTCCTCTTTTAACCATCTTCCGCTGTAGAAGAAAGTGGGAGAGCTCACAGCAGAGGCAGTCAGTAGATTTATGATGCTGATTATGCAGATGATAATCACTTCATGTGAATGATGATAATGATAATCATATTTTTTCAATTATGAAAATGATGTAGTGCATTACGATAATTTGCTCATTTATGATAATCATGAGAATGATAATGATGATGATGATGATGATATCAGTGAATATAAATAGAAGAGTTTAGTCAACTTATATGCACAGAGAGCTAAAAGCTAAGACTATTTCTTGAACTAAGGGTATCTCTTAGTCGCGCATTCCCGCCTAGAACACTCTTATTTTCGTTTTTATTATTATTATTTGATATATTTATTGTTTTTCTTTTGTTTTATTGTAGCATGAGCTTAGTTTAGTTTAGTTTTTTTTTGCTGGTAATACGTTGGTTGCATCATCGTCATAATTGCCGGCCGTGCTCACGCACGACTGCCGATCGACACGAACTACATGATGATGGTGCATAGGCATATATGTATCAATTTTATATATCTACCGACTAGCCATATTTCTCTATAAGCTCTTGCAGGCCTTTTGTGTTATTTGGGCGAATCGAATCTTTGATTTTCACATTGATATTCTAGATGCATCTAAGATACGGGTATCATATGATATACATATATCTGGGAGATGGATATGAAAGATATAGAATATATATACATATTTCTTATGTATATTAATTTTATAGTATTATGGCATCATACATAGGTGAATCGATTCTCTTTGATTGTCATATTCATTTTCTATACCCATGAAAGGCACATGTATCATATATTCTATACAGTGTCTAACATTAATATTCGGTTTATTATTTATCAACATCAACCGCTCATAAAACGTGTAAGATTAGTTGAAATTAAAAAAGTGAAAATGCTTATTTGTAGTTTGAAGAATTACCTGTCCGATGATGTATATATCAATATACTAGATTTAATATAACTAACTGTATATACGTATATCACTTATGTATATAAGTTGCGATTTCGATTGGATTCGCCGACATATATAAAACGAAAGAGCTGCAGAACCCACACATAATATTGGGTAACTTTCTTATATACTTGAATCCAAGATATATGTATACATCTTTCATATATTGTACATATCCAAAGGATATCTCTAAAAGATATATGGATTCATATGCATCATAATATATATCATATAATGTACATATCTCTTGGATTATTTTATTATATAGGTGAATAGATTCTCTTTGACAGTCACATTGATTTCGTATGTGCTTGAAATATCTGTACGTACATATATTATATTATATATGTACATATGTTTATCTCTTATATGATACATCAAATTGTTATGTCCAAGTGTTTACGACTCGATAATACCCTGCACCCAGTTGCACCCAGAGCTGTCGTAACATACAATCGAACTTTCTTTTACACACTCACGTTTACATCGACGTACATACATTCTTTCCCAAACACAAACACACACACAGACAAAGGCACGCACGACACAAGCTGCGCCACTTTATGCAGCGATTGTACTTTCTCTTTCCTATGCCCCAAACTATGGGACATGCATTCTTTGGTGTTTATACTATATCCGATCATTGTGAAACTTCTGAGCACAGTAAATATGTCAAGTTAATTGTTGAGTTTATAACATGGGCATGATCAGTTGTTAGAGTAAATATATGCAGCATAGTAGATAAGTATCTAAGTATATACATAATTCTATATATAGTATCTGCAGTACTTAAAAGTTTTCCGAAACACTTAAAGAGCAGACATCAAAAAAACATGTTTATCATACAACATAAGCACATTGCGTACAGTTTTTAATTAGTCTATTTAACATTTCCTAATTCGTTCTAATAACACTAGAGTGCAAAGTATCTGCGGTTCGCAAGCGGTCAAGACGCAGTGACGAATCTATAAAAAAAGAGTTTTATTTTTAGTGCTCGCCGTTAGAAATAAGCCAAATAAAGAAGCGACCCAAATGAAAACCACAAAAAACCAAAAACAAAACTAGAGCTAGATAGAGTCTTTGACTTCTGTTGTCCGTCCATTCTCGGGCTGGCGCGGTGTTGGTTGCATCATTCCGCCGTAAATGCTGGGGGACAGTCGTTGGCCATTTGGGCTCACGCGCGAACTACTTAAAGTGTGTGAGTACACACACACACACACACACATATATGGGTGACAATGTATTGGCCACAGTTGACTGCGGTTACCTCTATTGACCATGCCAATTAATAGAATTAAACAGAACACGGCTCTTACTGTACTCCAGTTCCTATACACCGTACGGTTTTATTTTCTTTTGGCTTATTTCGAGTCGCTCTGTGAACTGAACGGCAGCAATATAAGAAGCTAAGTAGGCTCTGAACGGGAAACGGGTATGCGCGACCAAGAGATTCCCTATTCACTTATTATTATTGTGATATAGGGGTTAGTTAAAGAATGGTTAGATAAACTACTTACAGCATGTTTGACTATGCAAAGAATGAAGAGAGTATATAGTATGTTCATTTAGATATATTGATCTATATATAGTATATAATTATCTTATTAAGGCTGAGGCGTAGCAAATTGAAAATTCCGATTCCCCCTGCTTTAAGGTAGAACCTAGAGACGCTTAAGATATAAGTTAATATAGCAAAGTAGAGATGATAGAGTGACGCTACGTACAGTTAGTCCGGATAACGAATAAAATAATTATTTTATTTAATAGTTTTTTATTGGATTGTAGTCAAGCATTCATCAAAGCTCCTATATTTCTTTCAATTTTAAGTCTTAGTAGAGCCAGCATTCCCTAAAATTTATATTGAAACTATCTTCCACAAAAGACACATCCATGTCTATATTCATACACAATATATATAGGTCAGGAGAGGCTTCCACATTTGGCTTCGTGCAAATTAGCACATTTGCAAAAGTTTTAATACACCCGGCTGCACGCATTTTCAATGGGTAGAGAGTATTAGCACAGCATCACTAATAAATCGACCAGCCGATGCGCCGTAGACAGACTTAGACGGTCGCCAAAGAGCATATTAACTTTACTTGAACCTAAAATAAATCATGAAGAAGAAGCATCGATAATACAAAAATGTGAGCTAAGGATAGTTCAGCTAATCATCAAACTGAATCACATGGGTTATTTTATATGAGCGGAAAGATACATATATTCCATCAACGTAGAAAACTTCTCTCTTCTGCAAATTAGCATTCCTTACATACGACCTATATAGCCATTCTGACCCATTTCAATGATAAAAGGGTATTAGAGAAACTTTGGTATTCGATCGAAAGATACCCTGTACTCGCATGCAATATGAATGTGTTATAAAAATTTGTTATCTAAAATCTCGTATATAAAATGCAATTTGTAGACTAAAAGTTGTTCAGTGCCATCTGTCATGTATAATCTGTTATACACAATCTGTTATATTTAACATGTTTTATCAAGTGTTGAGTTCAATATGATCTATATAAAATATCTAATATGAAATCTTAGAGTATCTGGTAAGCATATCCATTACATACAGTTTGTTATATAAAATATCTTTATATATAGGGTTCTCTATCTGTTATACATATATAATCTGTTCTTTGTACTCGTTATACTTGCTCCTACCCCATATACGATATCCGCAGGGTATATACAACTTTACGTCGTTAACAATGGGGCAGCGATGCCGGCACTTTTACGCACCGGTTGCTTCAGAAGTTACAACAGCGCTCCAGAGACGTATTCAATCTCAGATCGTAAACACCAAATTTAATATTTGATATTTTTGCACGCAGCAATAACAGCAATGCAAATATTTTTAAAAATGTGTGAGCTAACGTCATATGTCTGAATCGAATAATAATAATAATTGAGATAACGAGTTTTTGCTGACTAATTCTTGTTGTTGATAAAGAATGGAACTGAAGGCTATTTGGAAAAAAGTACAAATTTGACATTTACTTAGGCAGAAGAAGAAAATACACAAATATATATAATAATACTTTTAAGATTCTAGTTAAACAAGTAAAAATAAGATTAATATATAAATATAATGAAGAAAATAAACATGGAATATAAATTAAACAAATCTAGATTTTAAAGTCATCTAAAATATTGTTCCGGAGTATGATCAAGTAGTAATAATAAAATAAAATTAATAATAATGTTTATTATAAACCCATATACATATGTATGTATATGTAAAGCGTGTTGATAATATTAAAAATAAATATGAAAAAATATATAAATATTTAAAAGCATGTGTTGTCCTTTTCTTAGCATTGCAATGCATTACACTACACCAACAACAACACACACGTTCCACATACATACATACATATTTGAGTTCAAATTGGCAATAAACGACGTTACGATCCACCCTCGAACAAATTGTGTAAAGCTCTGCGATTGCGCAGCTCGCTTGTATTTCACGTCTGCAACAATGCCACAACAATGACAAACAGCTAACCGACCAACCGAGCAAACTAGCTACCGGCCACCCGACCGCCCGCCCTGACCCACGAACGGCCAGCAGTCCGAACAGCCAACCGAACGATCGGCCAACCAACAAACAAACCATCAAACCGAGCAGCCCAGCAGCAAACCAATCAACCTTACGGTGACTGTGGTCGTTCGTTCGTTCATTCGTTCGGGCGCTCGTTCGGGCGCTCGCTCGGCCGCTGCACACGCGCATTGCGGCGAGCTTTTGTAAGGCAAGCGCGAATGGAAAACCAGTTATAAGTCAACTTTCATTCCAAGCGGACGTGCCAGGCGTACGGATCGGTGCGCGTTTCAGTGTGTTGTGTTTGGCAACAGCGAGCTCCGTTCATAAAAGCATATACATATATACATAAATAAATATATGTATATAGATATATATATAAATTTATATTAATATATTTGCTGTATATGTAAATATGCACATGCATGTGTATATGCATACATGTTTAATAAATTCACGCTCATAGATAGCCATTGATTTCAAAAGGTGCTCGCCAGTCCAAAAAGTATCTTTTTATTTATTTATTTATTTATGTTTTTTTTTTTCGTTATTTGTTGTTGTTGTTAAATTGAAACGAGTTGATCTCCCACACTCAATATATTGGTGAATAGTAAAAGTAGAACATTTCACGAAAGCGAAATCAATAAAAATATCGCCGTATTTGTAGATGGTATATAATCATAAATAAATATATCTGCATATACATATACAAGTTTGTGTGTGTGTGTGTGTGTGACATAAAAAAAGAAAAACAACTGAAATGTGGATTACGTTTCCAAGTGAATTGTGACTAGTGAGTGTGTGTGCGTTTGCCTGGCTCGGATTTGGACTACGATTCCGATACCGAATCCGAGTCGGATTTGGATTCGGTTTGAGCGCATTGTACTTTCTCATATGGATTCAATTAACACATCGTATATCGAATTAATGAAACACTAACCAAAAAACTAATGAACCACACAGAGTTTTGTGGGTCGTTTTTCTTGCCTTTTCTTTTTGCCCAGTAGCGATCGACGCACAACAAAAGCAACATCGTTGATAATTAGTGAAAGATACTAGCTAGATGTAACGAAAGTTGGAGAAACCGGTCAACGAAATCCTCCACTCAATAGCAATTTATATAAATGCATATACATATGTATATATATATGTATGTATGTATATACATATATTTAAATAGCCTGTAACTCTATTGCATTTGAGTTATGACAGCATATGACAGGGCATTTCCTTTTGTTTATTACCTTTTGGCCTATTTCTAAATATATGTATGCATGTGTGTGTGATATAGTATCTGTGCATATTTCTTTTGAATAGACCGTTAGACAATGTTAATATTTCGCTTGCATAGCCTTGCCGCTCGGCCATATACATATACACAAAGAAACATCTGAAGGCCGTAGGTTGAGATTTCAAAATAGACACCAAACAGTTCGGGCCATAAGCAGCCAACTTATCCAAGAATGTGATTCCCATGGTAAAAAAAAAAATAAAAATAAAATAGAGACAGAAATCAAAACCACAGACGCTGCATAAAGTAAATCCAGTAAAGTGGTTTTCAGACCCCAACAACAATCGCATAATGCATAATACTCTGTCTATGTAAGTGCTTCCCAAGCCAATCTACTACCAACTGGGAAGCCAGCAGGTATATATATATATATGTGTGTGTGTGTCTTACATGTTGAATGAATTTTCGGTTTCAAATAGTTTTGAGCTTCAAAGTCATTGCCCGGTTATTGTGATTTTCTTCTTCTACTTTATGTTTAAATGCAACTGTTGTTGTTGTTGTTGTTGTTTATGCACCATTACATACACACACACACACACACACACACACATACACATTATTCATATTCATGACTATCAAGTGAAAATTTCAGTGTGAATGCAAAATGAAAATCTTGTGAGAGCAATCAAAACTCGACGACTCCGGCTCAGCTGTGAATATTAATTGAATATTTAAACATACATGCGGCACATGCAATTAAATACATAAATTACTTTAAAAACTAACTGTACATACTGCGACGCCAAACTAATCAACAGCTAATACCAGCAGCAGCAGCAGCAACAGCAGCAGCCATGTTTTGCTTTGGCCAGAGCCTGGGGTTATTGCTCGCATCGGTGGAAAACGTTTTGCATAGAGCCATGGCCTTTACGAAACACTCACTCCTGGTAATGATGATGATGATGTCGCTAATAGCACACGGAAATTGTCACGGTGAGTTCCTTATCACCATATTATGTTGATGATGATGTTGACTTGGGAAAATGCTTTTACAAGAAATGCAAAATTCAGATTGCAGCAAATTGCAGTTATTGGAATATAATTGTTAGCTATACCTAGATAGATTTCAAATAGATTCCATTGAAAATGTGAAATGATATGTGGACACATACATATATTTTTGGAGATTTCCGATTTACAGTGAAAGTACAAGGATTTTGTAATTTGAATACCCCGAACCCATTCAAAATGTGAGATATCGGGTTATAATATATTTTTAATCAACGCATGCAACAGGCAGAAGGGGGCGTGACAGACTCCTTCAAATGTATACATACATATACTCTTGATCAAGACGATTTAGTCTCCTGTCCGTCTGTTTGTCTGTCTATCTGTATATTTATATGCGTAAGCGCGTCCATCTCAGGAGATATAAAAGCTAGAGACTAGAAAGCTTCGTCTATTAAGCGCGCAGATCGAGTTTATGCATAAAATCGATATTTATTCCTGTTTTATTTTTGTTATTGATGAAAC